TTCAATCCCCAGTACCCTCCCCCACAAAAAATGGAGTTTTGACTATCATGTATGGAAATCTTAGAAGACAAGTCTATAAACAATGGGACAGAAAAACTGTCGAAAATCAGAAAGCAGAGTGATGCCCCAGGTGAGGAAAGGAACTACTGCAATTCCTGGTCTATGCAATAGAACATCAGTCTCCCAGAGCCAACTCCAGGCACACAGAATACCACATGGGGGGCAGCCCCCAGCACAGTACAGCACCTAAATAGTTTCTCCCAAGTAGACTGTCACCTTTCATTGCAAAGCTCAGGGCATTTTATGAAACATTTGGATTCAAGGAAAATCAAGAATCAACAAATGGAATGGTATCAAACGAAAAAGCTTTTTCACAGCAAAGGAAACCATGAAGAGCGAGCTTACAGAATGGGAAAAACTTTGACACCTGCACCTCAGATACAGCATTAATCTCCAGGTATACAAAGAATTCAAAAACTTCATACCAAAAAAAAATAGTAATTAAAAAAAAAAAAAGCCCCAATCAATACATGGGCAAAGGAACTGAACAGGCACTTTACAGAAGAAATAAAATTAGTCAACAAATACATGAAAAATGTTTTAACATAGCAGTTAGAGAAATGCAAATTAAAACTACATTGAGATTCCATCTCATTTCAGCCAGAACGGCAATTATCAAGAATACAAATAACAATAAATGGTGGAGAGGGTGTGGGGGAAAAGCTATACTCATAGACTGCTGGTCGGACTACAAATTGGTACAACCACTTTGGAAAACCTGGAATAAAACCACCATTTGACCCAGTTATCCCATTCTTCAGCATATACTAAAGGACTTTAAATCGGCATACTACAGTGATGCAACCACATCAATGTTATAGTGGCTCAATTCAAAAGAGCTAAATCTATGGAACCAAAATAGGTGCCCTTCAACAGATAAATGGATAAAGAAAATGTGGTATATATACACAATGGACTACTATCGAATAGTAAAGAAGAATCAAATTATGGCATTTGTTAGTAAATGGATGGAACTAAAGGCTATCATACTAAGTGAAGTAAGCTACTCCCCCAAAACCAAAATCTGAGAATGTTCTCTCTTACTAACACACAATGCGGGGGCAGGGAAGAATAGAAGTTCGTTTGATTAGTCAAAAGGGAATGAAGGGAGGGGAGCTGGGAATGAGAAAGATAGCAGAATGAATCAACATAACTTTCCCTAGGTTCACTTATGAATACATGACCAGTATAACTCCACATCAAGAATGGGATCCTAGCAAGTTATACCCCACGTATGTATGCCAAAATACAGTCTACTGTCATGTATATCTAAAAAGAACAAATGTTTTTTAAAAGCATTCAAGGAAAAGAGAGTCAAGATCTAAATTAGAATGCAGAACTGCCTTGTTATCAGAAAGTCAAGCACATCCACGTTATACCTCACACTAACTACTGATCACAGAGTTTTCAAATATGAATTTCTCTTTAAAACAAAAACAAAAAACACTTAAGGCTAGATGACTAGGTATGGTGGCACACATCTATAATCCCAGCTACTCAGAAGCAGAAGCAGGATAATCCCAAGTTTAAGGATAGCCTGGATAACTCAAGTGAGATTGTCTCTCAAAATAAAATTTAAAAAGGATGTAGCACAGTGGTAAAGTGCTTGCTCAGTACTCACAAGGCCCTGGGTTCTATTCCCTAGTACTGGGGGGGTTGAGGAGGGGATAGATAAATGGACTGATACACACACACACACACACACACACACACATCTTGTCAACTGCTGATGATAATTCTACTATTTAATTCTTTGAAGAACTCAGTCAACTGAAATTATTTAAATCAAGTATTTATATCACACAGATTTCAAGTCACAATTTAAAAAAGTTCTCAGTACACTACTTCACTTACTTAACCGTGTTAATTTAATCAACGCATCTGAGACCAAAATGCCAGGAACTCACTAACTGTCATACATTAAAAAGGAGAGTAAATCCTCAGAAACTCAAAAGGGCCAGACCTTAATCCAGCTCACATCATGCCAACATGTGTCTGTTCCTGCAGGTTTAGAGAATGCCACAGGATTTCAGCCTCTCAAATAAACTTGCCAGACTATGATTCTCCCATAGGGTTCCCTCCAATAAAATGTAGAATGCAGACTTATCCTTTTCTACCTTCCACCTCTTTTTATAAAGTTTTTAACACCTTGCTTTAGTAGCTTGGGCAAAAGAGAAATCTCCTGGGGTTGGGGTTGTCTAAAATGTGTCAGGCACTGGGTTCAATTCTCAGCACTGCATACAAAGGTCCATCGACAACTAAAAAATATTAAAAAAAAAAAAAAAAAAAAAGAAAGAAAGAGAGAGAGAGAAATCTCCTTAGCTAGATCTCTAAATATCTCACAATTCTGTTCTCAGCTCAAAGCTAAAAGTTCTTCAAAATTTCTATTAAAAAACAAATACAAACTAAAATACTATCCATTACCATAAACAGAAAAGCATAGAATTCAATCTTACTGGTGTTTCTTTTTCTGTTTTTGTATTACTGGGGATTGAACCCAGGATCATTTGATCCCTGAGCTACATCTCAGCCCTTTTTATCTTGAAGCAGGGTCCTCCTAAATTGCCCAGGCTGGCCTCAAACTTGTAATCCTCCTACCTCAGCCTCCTGAGTAGCTGGGTTACAGGCATGCCCCACTGCCCCTGGCTTCCCACTAGCATTATTTAATCTTTATTAGTCCAAAAGACCAAGTAGTAGCCAGGCACAGTGACGCAGGCCTGTAATCCCAGCAGCTCAGGAGGCTGAGGCAGGAAAATCACAAGTTCAAAGCCTGCCTCAGCAAAATCGAGGTGCTAAGCAACTCAGTGAGACCCTGTCTCTAAATAAAACACAAAATTGGGCTGGGGATGTGGCTCAGTGGTAAAGGGCCCCTGAGTTCAATCCCCAGTACAAAAAAAAGAGAGACCATGCAGAGGCTAAGAAACATAGTATTTACTGTTCTTAACCTTATCAACTCCCAAGAAAGGTTTTATTATCCACACATTAAAATAAGACGTAAGACTTTCTCATCTGTTTATTAGACTAACCCAGATGAACCATAAAGTTAGGCCAAATAGGAAATAGCTTTCTTCAGGTGTTGGACAAGAGGTAGTACTAGACCATAATTTCTAGAGAAGGCAAATTCTCAAGTTGAGCCCCATGAACACTCAGACCTCTGCCCAGGTACAATTTCCTGATGACACTCAGCAAACTCGGACCAAGTGGAGCCCAGATCTGCTGAGCTGTGGAGGCAGAGCCCCAGAGAAAACTGAACCACTGGATGGTGAGGGGATGACAACCTTCTGTGAGTCCTTGAGGCCTTAACTGAGGGCTGAACTGCACAAACAGGGTAATACTACCTAAAGCACGGCTTTAGGATTGAGAAATAAATGGAAGCACTAGAAATCTAACAAGGTTAGAATGTTGGAGTTCAAGCCTCAGGAGAGTGCACAAACCCACTTAATACCATGAGACCATCTTAGACATCAGAGATTCAGCTGAGGAAGGAACATGCCCTAAAGCAAGGCCTCTTCTAGACCAGCCCAACAAACAAATGAGATCAGCCTAACAACTGAACTGCCTAGGACAACAAATACATCAACACTCTTCAGGAGATAACAGAATCTAGAATTCCTACGTCATTTCACACACAATGTCCACTGCATAATAAAAAAATACTAGACATGCAGAGAAAAAGAATGTGAAATGACCCATAGGCGGCCCAAATGTTGGATTTAGAAGACAAAGACTTTAAAGCAGCCATTATAAATAGTCATGTACCAAGTAATGTTTCAGTAAATAATAGGCCACATACATAATGCTGGTTTCATAAGATTTTTTTTTAACATTTATTTTTTGGTTGTAGTTGGACACAATACCTTTATTTGATTTATTTATTTTTATGTGGTGCTGAGGATCAAACCCAGTGCCTCATACATGCTAGGCAAGTGCTCTACCTCTGAGCCACAACCCCAGCCCCTCATATAAGATTTTTTTTTTATATATATATATATATTTTTTTTTAGTTGTCATGGACCTTTATTTTATTTATTTATATGTGGTACTGAGGATGGAACCCAGGGCCTCACACATGCTAGGCAAGCACCCTACCACTGAGCCACAACCCCAGCCCCTCCATTAAGATTTTAATGGAGCTACAGCTGGGTGTGGTGGCACACCTATAATTGCAAATATTCAGGGGACGGTAAGAGAATTGCAAGTTCAAGGCCAGCCTGGGCAACATAGCAAGACCCTGTCTCAAAGAATGAAAGGGACTGGGGATGTAGCTCAGTAGTAAAGCTTTCACCTAGCATGAGCAAAGCCCTGGATTCAATCCCCAATACTACAAAACAAAGAAAGAAACTGAAAAATTTTAAATATCAAGCAGACTGGATATGACCAAAAAATATTCAATGAACGTGAAGAGACAGATGAATGGATATTTTCCAATCTCAGAAAAAAAAACAAAAACAAAGGCATGCAAGGTGGGGCACTCCTGTAATCCCAGCCTCTAATCCCAGGCTCAAGGTCTTAAGCAACTCAATGACTCAGTGGTTGAGTCCCCTTGAGTTCAATCCCTGGTACAAAAAACAGTAACAAAACAAAGCAAAACAACAACAAAAAAAAAACAAAACAAAACAATATTCCTCAAGAGAAATGAGCAATTCATTATCAATAATGTGAAGAAAATGAACATTGTGTACAAAGTTTCAAATTGCAGTTTTGACATACAATAAGTTAATAAGTTACAAAGACAATGATTTTTGAGTTACTAAAAAGATTTTCAGCAGCAACAGGAGAGTAAGAAATATAAAATAAAAGCTCATACCTCAAAATTTTCACTAACTTCTTGCATCATTTTTAACTTGGTTTCATCAGCTGTAAGTGGCAAAACAAACCATCAGATAATTGAAATTATGTTAAGGGATGTTCCTAAAGTTCCTGGATTTAATAATTTAAGAGAAGCAATCAGATCTTATCAGTTTGACTGTCATGGCCCAACAGAAGACACATAGCTAATTTCCTATGACCAGCCACACACATTCATACTCCCAGACATATGTGTGCATGCACAGATAAGAATACAGGTATACACACACACACCACACACACACACATACACACTCACACGTGCCTCTTTGGGGCTCCAGCTAGTACTACTCATCATTTTGCTTCTCCACCAGGCAAAAAAAAAGAAAAACCAGAGTAGATGTTACTATTTATCTAAATGTGCACATCATCTGAACTGAAATGAATGATGCATTTCTTAATGACAGAAAGGGTCAACTTACGAGTATTAACATCTGTAAGAGCTGCCACAAACTGAAGGTATTTTTTCATCAGAGTGGTTTGGTCAACCACTGTGGCCCCTTGTGTTGCAACGAACGCCATTTTTAGTTTTGAGCTGGTTTCTTTTTTCAAAAGAAAAATTTAAGGTCCATGAGTTCACCCAGCCTACAAAAAGAAGTATATAGTTAGCCAACTTATCAAGGGCACAGTCTCACAACCTCGGAAAATCTTACCCAAATGCCTGTATTCATCTAAACACTTCTGTACTAATCCAGAATGAACACTAGTCCCTCTGCTCTTTTGAAAATGTTACCCAAATCCATTTTGTCTGAACATGGTTTTTTTAGCGATAGAAGCTTCTCCTTCCTACCATAGTTTCTTCTTTCCCTCAGCCAGGTGTTGGCAAACACTTTCTGCAAAGAACCAGGTGGTAAATATTTTAGACTTTGTGGCTATGCTATGCAGTCCCTATACAACTACTCATCTCAGTTGTAGGCAGCAGGGAGTCACAGACAACATTTAAATGAGTGAGAACATCTGTGTTCTAATGACTATTTATGGATACTGAAATTTGAAATTAATACTCATTTGTCATGAAATATGACTCTTCCCCCCTTTTTTTTCCTCTGCCATCCACTTAAACAATATAAAAACCATTCTTAGCACCAGTAATGTAGCTCAGTGCTAGAGTGCTTGTCTAGCAAGCACAAGGCCCTGGGTTTGATCCTCAATGCAAAATCAATCAATCAATCAATCAAAAACCACTCTTATTTCAAGAGCTATATGAAAACAAGCAGTAGGCTGGATTTGGTGTGCTGACAGTAGTTTCGCAACCTCTGCCCTAGGTGATTGGCTCTCAAACTTCAGTGTACATTAAAATTTCAGCATACATTAAAATCATCAAACCGACAGCTACCCCAGAAACCAAGAGGCCTAGTAAGCTGTAAATTTTATCTGCACACCAGGCATTCAAAAACTGCTCCTTGAATGAATAAATGCTTCGAAAAGCACCTCTGTGAGTGGGAAACAGGTTGTTGACCAAACTTTTGAGAACTCCTGCTCCATGGCGACTGGTTTCCATTTTAAGAGCTGTCACAAAAGCATGCAGAGAACCTGGTGAAACTGCCTTTACCCATCCTCCTTACATAACTTCACCCTGCATAGGAGGGGGTTTCCTGGTTGGTTTCTTTCTTCAACAGACCAATAATCCTTCTGCAGGCCTTTCCAGCTCGCTGCCCTGCCGGGTACACTCTGGCAAGTGACAGATGGAGATGCACACTGGGACACCAGGGAGCTCCTCCTGGCCACTCAGAGACAGCAAGCACACTTCTCCGAGGCCGAAAGGAAGCCTTTGGCTACGAACGGCCCAATCCCCAGCTCAGGGCAGGAAACGTCATTAGGGGCACCAAGGCGAGGGGTCTGTCAGTCCTGCAGGACGACTCAACAACCGCTGGCCCCTTTCAGGTCGCATTCCCTCCTCCAAACACCGACACCGCACATCCCCATCCCCGCCCCGAGAAACCCCAAACTCTGTGTGACGCCCCCTCCTGGCCTACGAAGCCCCCCCGGTCCTGCCCAGACTTTCCAAAGTTGCAGTCCCTTCTTTATCACAGAAGTCGTCAACCCTGCCATTTCCCAGGTCCGGGAGGGAGACCCTGACGTGGAGGAACGCCTGGAGTTGGGAGGCTCGGGAGGCTCCGGAGGCCGGGGGCCCAGACAAGAGCCAGGTGGAAAGCGCAGGGTCGACGCCGCGCCCTCGCCAGGGGCAAAGCAGCGCGCGGCGGTGCGCTCCGCCCCGCCCCGTCCCGCCGACGACGCTCCCGCCGCGCCGGGCCTGAGGCGGCGCCGCCGGGCCGGAGGGGGCGCTGTGGTCGCCGCTACCTTCGCTCTCCGCGTCGGGCCCGATGCCTGCGTGGAGGCCCGGAGGTGCCAGGCTGGCCGGGAGACGCCTCTGGGGGACACTGCCCTAATCTCTTGCCCGATCTCTGGTCGCAAACGGCCCTTGGGTTCCCTCTTTTTGTCGCCGTCCCCGGACACTCAGCGACCGCCTTCCAGGCCGCGCTACGGCGAGCGCCGAGGGCCAATCCCCGCACCCGCTAGTCCTGCGCCTCCCACTGCCTGCTCCAGGATGGGCCAGGATCGGTTGGGGCCTGAGTCGCCCCGGGCCCTGCCGCCCGGGGTGGGCTCCGCGGGTCCCGGAGAAGCCGGGCACGTCCCGAGCCCCCTCCGCGGAGTCGCCGCGCCGCAAAGGCCTCCCCCACGGCCACGGAACGCGTGCGCTTCCCAGGGCCGTTCGTCCGCCCCCCGCGAGCACTTACCCCGATCCCGGCGGCGGGCCTCCGGCAGCCGGGCCCGCGCCCCAGCTAAGCCCTCGCAGCCGCCGCACGGCTGCTCGCAGTCCCGCCCCCGCTTAAAGCGGCTGCCCGGCCGACGGAGAACTGGGCCTCGGCGCACCGCCCCCAAGTGGGTGCGGCCTGCGAGCGGGGTGGGGCGTCCGCTGCCCCGGTGGGCCCTCCGGCCCTTTAAACCTCCGCCGTGGGGCGGGGCGGGGCCGCTAGCACGGACATAGGGGCCGCCAGGTGCAGTTTCCGTGGGTTCCGTGTGTCCCCAAGCCTCCTCGCAGGAGCCAGGCTGTGGCTTGGGGGATGCTCCGCGGCTGCTGGGGCGGTGGGACCCCGAGGGGCTTCCCGAGTGGGCAACGGTCGTCCCCCGTAGAATCTACCGCTGGAATGAGCGTGGCAGGCAGGGCGGGGTTTCCCCATCCCCCTCCCTTCCTGGGATCCTTCTTAACGCACAGAAGTGGGAGGAGGCAAGGAGGGGCTTTGGGAAGGTTGGAGCTAGATGGAGACTGTCAGCAAAGGCAAGCCCTAGTGTTTTTGCCCGCAGGTGTTCACCAGGGCCACAGTAAGGCCCATTTGTTCTGCAGCTGCGTCTCCTTGAGCTGAACTGCAAAGGACGACTTTCTATCTGCTCCTATTTGGTGGACAGATGCACTCCACCCAGGGCAAAACTGGAGGGAGAAAGGCTGTGGGCCAGGCCAGAGAGTGGGGAGGAACAGCTTGATGCCCAGGTGAGGTGGCATGGACCAGACCAAGAGGTGCCTGGAAGGGGAAAGTTCTGTCCAGTCTCACTTAGAGCCTCCACCTATGAGAGAGGTTGAACAGTGAGCTGTACCTGGTAACCCATGTTACCCATGTTAGATGGACAGATTGAAAGTGATGACCTGAACTCCACCACCTCCAATCCCCATTTTTGTTTCCTGTGCCTACACTCTCCCTACTGGTTTACCACTCCCCCAGGGGAATCTTTGTGGTCCTTGCCCAAACTGATAGATTTCACATCTTGTAGTAATTAGAGCTTGCAAAGCCATCAGACACCTTGAAGGAAAATGTCCCTTTGAAAGCAAGTTCTTTTCTAGTTTATTATTGTCACAAAACAAGATGCAACTGAAACCTGAACTGTAAGTGAATGTTTTGGAGTTAATTATTCCACTCTGCACCCCCAACCCCACCCCTGTATTTGCAAGTAAAATCCCCTATGCTCCCTCCACCACTACCCCTCAAAGTAGGAGGTTCAAAGTTGGGGAAAAAAGACTGAAAAATCTGAGGGCCTAAAATTTAAGGCTGTTTAATATTTTTTACCAGATAGAGAGAAAAATCTGGGCAGATACACCCTTTGATAAATTTCAGCCTAATTGCATATTATAAAGACTCTGACAGAGCAGAAATTCCCTCACTTTCCTGAGGCCTGAGTTCTATCAAAGTACCTATCACACTGTTATGATTTTTGTCAGTTTTCTTGTCTGTCTCCTGAATTGGAGGTTAGGGACAGTATAAGCTGCATCCCTATCAGGTAAATCACGTGACCCTTCTGCTTAACCCTTGCAAAGGCATTTCAGCTCCTCCCTGTCCTTAGCCACTGTCACCTCCCATCCCAGTGTTCCTGCATCACTGTGGAACCACTGTGCAGCCACTGTGGAATTGCTGTGCCTCACACCCACCCACACTGTTCCTGCCTAAAGCCTTTTGCAGTTAACCTGCCTGACCAGAATGTTCTTCCCTCAAAGGCACAAAGCTGGCTCCTTGTGATCCTTGCTCAATTCAGAATCCATCTCCTCAGAGAGGCCTTCCTTAAGGGCAAATATAAGGAAACCCTTCCCACTCAATTGTCTCCCATAATACTGTTCCCCTCCCCTCCCATAGCCTCACAATCTGAAATTATCATGTTTCCCCTCCTGGACAGTAAGTTCTTTTTCTGTCTTTGTTTACCATTGTATTTCCATTGCCCATTCAATATTGTCTTTCATCAACTAGAACTATCAAAACAAAATATCACAGAGCAGGCAGCTTAAACAACAGAATTGTATTTCACACCATCCTCTGCTCCAAGTAGGAACAGAGAAAAAGTGGTCTGGAGATTGGCCCAAGATTAAGGTTCTAACAGGTAGGCTTCATTTTGAGGCCTATTCTCTTAGCTGCCATCTCACTGTGTATGCACTTGACCTCCTCCTTGTCCTCTGGTGAGAGAGCGAGCTCTCTGGTGTCTCTTCTTCTTTTAAGGACACCAGTTCTATCAGATTAGGGCCCTGTCCTTATGACTTCATTTAACTAGAATTATCTTTTTAGAGGTTTTCTCTCTCTAAACACAGTCACACTGGGGTTGTGTCTTTAACATGTGAAGGGGGGAGTAACACAATGCACTCCATAACATGTGCTCTTTTGTCACTCTAACAAATATCTGAGATAACCAACTTACATAAAGAAAAAAGGTTTATTTGGGCTCATAGTGTTAGAGGTTTCAGTCCATGTTCAGTGGGCCCTTGTTATTTTGGGGCCTGTAGTGGGGCAGCAGATCATGGCCAGAGAACAGGGAAGAGCAAAGCCACTTAC